GCATTTAGACAACTTGTGTGCCCAGATTCCAGCATTTAGACAACTTGTGTTTACAGATTCCAGCATTTAGACAACTTGTGTGTACAGATTCCAGCATTTAGACAACTCCTCTGCCTATATTTCTGTCCCGTGTAATAATCTGCAGGCTTTGAGCAGTTGTCGCGCTTACCAACGCTGCTGCTCCGGTGCTCGCGAGAGGTGCCGGAGATCGTGAGCCGATGAATTGAGCCTGTGCCTGGCGTGCCGCAGGCCCAAGTCGTCGAGCGCGCTGGACTACCTGTACTTCTTCGGGTCGTTCGCCTACCTGGTGGGGCGCACGGTGGTGCTGACGCTGACGGCGGCGCGTGTGCACGACGAGAGCCGCCTGGCGCTGCCCACGCTCTACCAGTGCCCGGCCGCGGCCTACTGCCTCGAGGTCAGTCACGCGCGCACGCGCTCTGCGTACCCGGAAGACTCAATTGACGCGCTTCCTCCCGAGCGAAATCGCGCGTGCGTGCATCGCGTAACTGCAAATGCTCGTTAAAAATCGAGAATCGTACTCCAGAGACGACCCTACATGCGCGCGGTCGCTAAACACCAGAACACGTTTGTCAAAAATGTTTGAAAAATCGTGGGCATCCAGAAGCCGCACTGCAAATCCTGCGCGACTTCACTCAAACTCGGAAATTGTTGCTCAATATGAAGCTCGTAAATAGTATGGTTCGCTAAACTCCGGTATAGTTAATGAAAAGAAAGTGTGTAAATCGAATATAAAAGTGGTCCATGCGGAAAACAAGGCAACTTAGTAAATGGAGCGGATACACAAGGAAAGCTGGTGTTCATGAATGTATCCAATAGATAAGATCTAGGGTTTTTTTCGGGGAAGGGGGACTATTATGCATTTTGAAATATGTGGTTTAAGGTTCTAAAATTGACCTCAATGCGTTAATGTGGAAACGTGAAATGTGAAAATTGGGATACTTTGGGATAAAAATATGAAAATATTAATAAATTTAAATATTTTAATACAATTTTAATGAAAACATGGAAAAATTAAAAAATTGTGGGTCTCCAAAATCTGTTCCAGTACGCCCCTTTTATATGCTACTCTCATAAGGCGAATGCTGGAATATTTCAAAAATGCCACGATCACCTCCCACCACCCCATCTGCCACCTCCCACAATCATCCTAGTCCTTTCTTTCCTCATCATCACCCTATCGATTCATTCAGCATTTTCTGCAAAAGGCATTAGGTCCGTACTCGTAATGGGATCTTAGTTGACTTAATAATAATAATAATAATAATAATAATAATAATAATAATAATAATAATAATAATACCAACAACAAATAACCCTCTGATAGGGTAAAATATATTTTGTGTAATGCAACCCGCAGAACATTTATGTATTACGGATTGCGGCGCCGCAGGGCCGACGGTGAAGGGCTCGGTTAAACTTGTTCGCGACGGGACGGTCGAGGCAGGGAGAAGCAACGTGAGGGAAACGACGCGCAGTCGGGACAGAATTGGAGGACGAGCAGGGCAGGACACGGCCGCAAGGCCGGAGTGTTGTTGGGGCGGCAAGAGGGAGGATGTGCGGGACGTAACACGGCTGGTTTGGGCGGCGCACTGCGGGATGGGAGCTGCGTGGCAGAGAGGGTCGACTATATAAATAATAGTATATTCTTCAACGCTCGTACAATGATATCCATTATTAACGAGTTGGTGCTGACGATCCGAGCGACGTAGGAGCGAGTGTCGGAATTTCTACGAGTGAATAATAGCCATTCTACGCGTGTAGAAGCCTATACTTCCTCACGACTTTGACATTAATATTTTAAAAATACAAAATGAGTGCCTTAACCCTTCTTCTGAAAGGTTAGCACTCACTGTTTTGTGATTCACCAATCGTACGACAGATGCGACCTGCCACTGCAGCGCACGCTCCCACTGTTGGCGACTGCCGTGTGTAATGAACTAAGACGAATGTGATTGGTCGATAACCGTGTGAGAATAATATTCTCGCACGGATTGTGGAATAACCATCATTACTGCATAAATGCGTACATTCTGGAGTAGTCATGGAGAAAATGAATTTCATTTTACACCTCAAATAGAATTCATTCCTTTTTCGGTCTATTATAGTCTTGTTAAATGATGATTTTCTTTGAATGATCCAATGATTGTTAATTTTTTAGGAGGATTAATTTTGTTTATCAGTTAATAATATAATCTCAACTATTAAATATGTTTATAGTCGCATTGCTTATATGTTATCAATCACAAGCTGATCTATTCAGAGCAAAAGTATTATTGCAAGTTGCAAGTACACACGAACCTGGTTAAGTGGCACCTGTATAAGTGATAATCCTCTCTTGTGGAAATTAATTGTAATTGTGAAGTCTCGACTTTTTTATACGAAAAAACTCTACAATGAGAATGAAAAACCTGAGTAACCGAGACTGATTATTCGTACAGATTTTTCTCGATATTTGCCACCAGGGTAGATGTTTATACACGTCCGTCATTTATTACCGTGTACTATCCGAAACAGCGACGCTCCCTCAAATGATGGTTACCTTTACCAGCGACCATCTGCGCTTGACAACGCGTCTCTCCTGCGGGAGAACTTGACAACGCCCGTACGGAAGTCACGTCGGGACTATCCGTCTGTCTCCGAACGTAGCTGTAGGCAGAATGTAGACGAGGCAGGATGTAGAAACGAAAGTTAAATTCGTTGTCAGCAAGAGAAAAATTAATGGTACTATGTATATATGATGAAGAAATGACACGTGAAGAACTTTGAATTTAGTATCCCTTTTAACTGATGCAAATGTGTGTAGAATCTGCATAAGGGAATACCTGTGAGATGAATGCTTTTTGAATTTGAATAAGGGAGAAATGGATGAGTGATGAAACTCTAAAACAAATAATGAAATTTTTGTCCGTTGAAATTCCACTGAGACAGGTTCGATTGTATTACAATTTATAAACCTGCTGAAATAAATACCAGTAGCTTTGTTGTGTGTTAATAAATCGATTGATTTATTTTCGTCAAAGAACTGTAAAGTAATAAATTAGCATAATTATCAGTTCTTGATTATAACCTTCTAGAAAGTCATGATTTGTACACCTTTTTTGTTTACATACACAGCTTATAGTGCAACAGTGTTTTTTGTATGATTGCTTGGCTGTGCGTCAATTGTTATGTATTTGAAAGCAAAATGCTAGAGTCAACGTTTAGTTTGGCTTCTAATAATGAAATAGGCCAATTATGTACGAATATAAACCACGTAACACAATTAACAAGGGAAAAGGTATTTGGAAACAATTTGAGAACTTTTGTTAAAAAAAGAAAATGCACATTAACAGCATTTTACGACAATTAAAGTCATAGAAAATATTTTAAACTATTGGAGCATTAATACGAAAAAACTGGATGGTCAAGAATTCAAAGAACCTACCATAAAAGCTAGGAATTCATTATCTACATTAAAAATTAGCAAATAAAGCACGTTTCCTTCAAATTTAAACTTTCAAAAAGATGCCTTTAAATCATTTCGGTATCTACGTTTAGTAATGTTTATTTTCTTCTTCGTCATGTGTTGTTTACATTTCTTTGCAGAACGATCTGAATAAATATTAGTTTTATATGAAGTACGTTTTATTCAGTCATATTAATGAAATTTCATTCGTGAAATAAACCTGTTAAATTCCACTCGTGCTTTGGATTGACTGATTATTGATTCTGGGCGCGTCAACTGATAAGGTCATTAATCCGTAAGTGTGGTGCATGTTTTTTCGCGTGAGGTGGCGGAGATCCGGCGTCGACTTTCCTCGGGTTACGAGGATTTTCCCCTGCCAGGAATTGCTCACCAGCGAGTCACAGCCCCAGCCGGGACAAGCTCTAAGCTTCCGACCGTCAAGTATGCAAGTGTAGTGCATGTTCGTATAATTGTGTGAGTAAGCGGTGATGATAGGGCAAGGAAGAGGAAGGAAAGTTCGCGCGCGGTCCGTAGCCCGTTTGTTAGGACACACTCCTGCATTCGCGTGGTGTTGATCGGAAAAATCACCGATCCGAACGGTCGGGCGCTAAAATTCTCCTCCAGACAGTAGGTGAAATAGAACTAGATTTTAAGATACTGTAGAAAAGCATGTCACAGTCAGGTCTCAAACTCTAAGACCTTCTGTTCAGAGGCAATACAGTGACATCAGTTGATGGCCCAAGCCAATTTTGCCGGTCATGTTTTGGAAATTCTCATATAAAATACCCTTGTTGCCTCAGGGATTTATCGACAACTTTCAAAGAAGTTTTGGAATACCTCTAATTTTGTATATAATACCTGTACTTTTAATTTTAGGTCGCATTGACAGCTAGCGACCATTATATGTTAACGATATGTTTCACAGTATGGTGTGATATGGTGATGGTGAGGTTTGAAAGGACAAACACAAACTCACCCATGCCCAAGGCGGGACTGGGACCCGCGATCCCACAGTCCGAGATCTCTCCAGCACTTGCGCCTCAACGATCTCGGCCATCCGCACGACGCGTGCAAGTGTGGCGTCTTTGCTCGGGCAATAAATCACAGACGGCAGTAAATAACAGTTTGTAATTTATTGAGAATTTATTTGGAATATGCTCCAACACCTGAATACTAATTACAATGAACAATATTGACCCGTTACCAGAAGGAATGTTCGTGGTCACCACATCCACTGGGCTGATAATTCAATAACATGTTCGGTGTGATACACCAGTTTCCCTACGTACGCATACAAGCGAGTATGCCGCACCTCCCGTCTCGACGCAGCACACCGGCTTGAGTTCCCTGCCTCAGTAGCCTACGCATTAAAATACCGCGCCGCGCACAACCACACGACTTCCTACCGACGCGTCCAAGAATCAGAAGAAGGAGTTTAGGTGCGGAGTCCGCTTATATTACTTTCTGGGCCGGCTGACGGAACTGTTTCCGCCGACGCGTTTCCACAGCTAGCCTGTATACGGAGTTTACAAGTTGCCCCAAGTGGTCTACGGGGTTCACAAGTGGCCACCCACGATACGGCACCTTCTCCCTTCCGCGGAAGGTTTGACACTGTTCAGCCCGGCGCCCCGCCAGCGCTGCCACTGTCTCAAACTACTTCCTCGTGCATTTCGTGTGCGTGAAATGCACCTGGCTAATATTTTGTGACGTTTGTGCAAGGCGACTGCCACCACTCCACGCAAGTGGTGCTGAGCGCCGGGCGCGGGGCTGGGCGTTGCAGGCGCAGCGCCTGCAGAACCAGCTGGTGAGCGACGAGCTGACGCTGACCGGACTGCGCTTCTTCTCCATCACGCGCTCCTTCCTGCTGGCGGTGAGTGCCCTCGGCGCCACGGTGGTCTTCGCTTCGCCCGGCGGCGGCGCCACCGCCGCGCAGCTCGCCTAGGTACCCC